ACACTGTAACCAACTGCAGCATTTCTAAGAGTCCATCTGATGAGACCACACTGATATGTAAATATAGAATATGTTACATTTCCTTGTACTGCTATAGCCACTTGAAAGAAGTTTGACTGTAAAAATTATAATTACATAATAAAATCATAAGTTACATACGTCTTGACAGTTTCCTCTATTATAAGGACATATGTCATGCCAGTAAGCCCACAGTAACCAATCAGCTTCAAAAGTATCACCAGTGTATTTGGATAAGAAGGCATTGACTTTGGTGATGAGAGATGATGATCCAGATACAATTTGATAGTGTAACTGTCTTGATCCCGACAAACGACTATCATCCCAATATGGAGCCACAACAGCTAAACTATTTTGAAGAGGGAAGTTCTTTGGAGAGAAGGAATTATAGGCTCTACCAAAACTGACTAATCCATTGCTGCTAATCTACAGTTAGAACAGAATTTGCTTCAAACATGCATGATTATATTTGTGACCATAATTGACAAAAGGTACCTTATGGCGGGTAGTGAAATTTGTCTTTCTAGCCTAAGAAATCCAACTTCCTGAGCCCCATTCATCATAAAATTACTCCACAGGATGCAAAAAGTTACCATGAAACTTTTAGAAACAATGATTGTCTAACAAAGCACTCACAGGTTGATATTTTCCATTATAACGATCAATTTTAAAATCCGCCATAAGGGCCCTTTTGTCAATTATGGTCACATTTACTTACATAAGCTCTGTTATAGTGAAAGCCTCCAAACTCAAGTGTAGTTGGTAGTGTAACACTAGCAGAACCATCATCAACATCAGTATACACATTATAACTTGATGGATAAAGGAATGGAAGAAACTCTGAAGTAGGTTCTATGACAACAAATGTAATATCATTAGGAGTAATGTAGAACATTAAAGGGGCGAGCCTAAGCAAGCTATAGATTATGCATGTGCTGTATGATCTACGTGTCTGAGGTTCTGAGCTATAGCAAAGCAATTGCACATGTCTAAGTATCTTGTTGCAGACTGGCTGTCATCTTGCTTAAATTAAAGTTATCTTGCTTATAGTTAGAAGCAGTCACTGAACATATTATATTTGAAGATTGCATATCTGCTTTGTTAACCTAGGCTTGCTGCTGGAGAAGAGACATCACCTAGAATATGCATGGTGCAGCTAGCTACACGTACATGCAACTTTCTCACAGGCTTGCATTGAACTTATCAGAGTCCTTTGAATCAAGGAAAGATTGTATATCTGCTATTCTAACCTTTATTCTTGTTAAAAAGTTTTTAAACAGCAGTTTAGTCTTATCTTGCTGACTGTTTGTCCAGTGGTGTAGCTACACCTGGGCCTGCTGGGCCTGGGCATTAGATACCAGGTCAAATAATTAGAAAGTTATAAAAATCAATGATCAATTGTTTATCAGTGTTTATTGAGCACTGCTCTACAATAATATGACTTCTTTCCTTGATTTGACAGTTTAGCAATAGTATTTTGTGAAATCTAACACAAAAACCAGCGATCTCATGCAAGTTATACTTTAAAAGCAGCCATTATTCGGCACGTTAATTCATCATGCCCATCATGAATATCATTCTAGCGTGAAAAATTTTCATCATGCTTTGTGCACCATTTATTTTTCTTTGCTGGCCTAGGCATCAAAAAAGGTCTGGGCTATGCCACTGCGGCAAAATAAGGTCAGACTTGCTGATAGCCGCCATTTTATTCATTGTGACCACACTCAC